GCGCAGAGGTGAGGAACCAGCCCAGAACTACACGGGAGGAGCTGGTCCATGACCTGAAGAGAGCTGGCACCACTGGTTCCAAGGATACTGTGGGTAATACACTAAGACATCATAGTTTAAAATCATGCATGTCATGAAAGGTTCCCCTGGTTAAATCAGCGCATGTCCAGGTCCGTCTTAAGTTTGTCCATGACCATTTGGATGATCCAGAGGAGTCATGGGAGAAAGTTCTGTGGTCAGATGAGACCAAAATAGAACTTTTTGTTTTAATTCCACTTGACATGTTGGAGGATGAAGAATGATGAGTACCATCCCAAAAACACCATCCCTACTGTGAAGCATGGGGGTGGAAGCATCATGCTTTGGGGTGTTTTTCTGCACGTGACAGGACGACTGCACTGTATTAAGGAGAGGATGACCAGGGCCATGTTTTGTGAGGTTTTGGGGAAGAACCTCCTTCCCTCAGAACATTGAAGATGGGTCGTGGCTGGATCTTCCAACATGACAATGACCCGAAGCACACAGCCAGGAGAACCATGGAGTGGCTCCGTAAGAAGCATATCAAGGTTCTGGAGAGGACTAGCCAGTCTCCAGACATAAACCCTATAGAAAATATTTGGAGGGAGCTCAAACTCCGTGTTTCTCAGTGACAGCCCAGAAACCTGGCTGATCTAGAGAAGATCTGTGGAGGAATGGAACAAAATCTCTGCTGCAGTGAACCTGGTGAAAAACTACAGGAAACATTTGACCTCTGTAACTGCAAACAAAGATACTGTACAAATATTAACATTGATTTTCACATGTGTTCAATACTTATTTGCAGCAGTAACTTGTTATGTCTTTCACAGTGGACATGTACTTAAAATGAAAATTTCAAACCCCTCCATGATTTCTACGTGGGAGAACTTGCAAAGTCGCAGGGTGTTCAAATACTAATTTTTCTCACTATACATACATATATATACATATGTATATATATATATATATATATATATATATATATATATATATAT